CCCCCCGGGGGCCTCTAATTTGGCTAGCGTAAAAAGTTTTTCAAGGGGGGCTTCTAATATGTCCCATGATTTTTTGAAAATTTTAGGTACCTAAGTTTTCAGGGGTTTTCGACAGATTTGTATGTGATCATAAGCTTTTTGGGGGTTATTACTACTTCTTAACCTCAAAATCTACTGTTTCCTCAAATTTTACGGTGATAAAGAAATAAAAATCCTGAAAGAGTTTGTAAAAAGTTTTGAAAAAAATAGGAGGGCTACTATTAAGCAAATGCCTTGTTCAGCTCCGAGGGGGCTTCTAATATGAGGGGGGCTTTTAATAGGGGAGGGGCTTCCATTACAGGGAGGGGTTTATAGGAAGCTGACAGTTTCATCGCTCTTTGCTCATTTTAGTCACTTAGCTAAAATAAAACACCATACTACCTATAATATTCAAACAACGTTTCTTTCGATGTAAGTGAGATTTTTAAGAGAATTAATGCAGAGTCTGCTCACTTTTTGCTTGTATTCTAGATCAATCTCCCTTATATTTCATGACTATAGTCTATTTCATTCTTCTCCATTCGAGCGATCGACAACCTTTACTTGAGAGCCACTTTGGCCCTAGAACTACATGTTTTGATGATGTAAACCAATGTATTCCTCATGTAAATCACCTGAGACAACAAAATGGCACACAAATTGAATTGTTTCTCCCATCGGTGAACAGTAATATCGTTGGAACATACTTACCTCTTTACGGAAATATACGTTTTCACATATATTGCCCTACTACTGATCAAATGACACAATATGAAGCCCAGTTTCCACAGCGTTATTACGTTGAAGTCTTAGAGGATGCTCATTTATGGATTTCTATTGGTCGTTCAGTGTTAGACTATGATAGTTTGCGAATGTCAAGAAACGATTATCCCGCCATTACATTGGTAGAATGGGAGAGAACGCATGAAATAATTGAAGACGAAATTAGAGCTGCACAACTAGGTATACAACCTACATAATAAGAAGACATGATACGTATTATTACATTGCAACTTCATGTGTTCCAAAGATTTGAATATCTCTCTCATAATCTAATTAAACGTCCTTTTAATTCTTCGAATTTGAGACGGAAGAAATACATATATACGCTGAATATTTATATCAAAAAACGAGGTTTAGTGTTGATGTCAGAGAGATATTCAGATGTTCTATTTTAGTACAATTTTCTGTTAACTTATTCTACGCTAAAGATGTTTTATATATTTGATCAATAGACTAATAAAATAATTTATATTAAAATATCATCAATCACGTAAAGGTAACACTTGACGAATTGGTAAATGATACATATTTGTCCAAACATAAGACAAGCAGACTGATGCATGAAAACAAAAGAAGATTTGAAGTGGCGTAGCAATGACTGTAATGATCGACCATGGTATAACATGATAGAATGCTAATCGAAATGGAATGGCTTCATGTTTTGTCGTTTTCTCAAATCAAGTGTTATCAATAAAGTAATCATTTCATGTGCTGGATAGTTATGCTTATTCCTTCGTTTTAATCGTTTACGTAGGGCAATCAGAATAAATAACGCATGAATCGTACGCTCGATCAAGTCTAATAGCAGAAACCAAACAATACCGGCAATTATTGACTATGGAAGTACCTTGTCTCACCCAAAATGAGAACTGCCATTTTAATACATGCCACCCATGTTATTGTGTGAAAATGACTTAGAATGACAAAAGCACTAAAAGTCGAATACAAGCAGATGCCACTCAATGAAATGATAATGAGAACATCATCAAAACTTATATTGAATGCGGGAATTAAATATTGAAAGATCGTATTTCATACTCACATGTTGTGGTTCGACGATAAGTCAATCGACGAAGTTTTATCAACGAGCATATTGTTACGTACAATGAAAGAGCCAATAAACGTATGTTTCAAATTTCGAAAATAGACGAGAAATCGATCATGCCAATGAAGAGACCTTTGTTCGACGCATGTCAGTTCACCATTGAGCAAATGTTGAGAAAGACACATTGGGCTTTCATTGTCTGTTTATTTTCCGGATCTACGACAAAAAGATAAACAGATTATACTCACTGCTGTTGATTGGTACTAGTGCCTGTCTTTCGATTTCCTTAATTTGTGATGTTGTCTCAATCAGTGCCCGGTGTCCGGACAGAATGTCGCAGGACAAAATGTCACGGACATATCGTCGCAGACAGAACGTCGCAATAACAATGTCGCACGGACAAATGGTTGCAAGGACAAAACGTTGCATGGACAAATGGTTGCAACGACAGAAGGTCGCATGGACAAAGTGTTGCAATACATTGCGATTTGATACGTACGCAATCCAACAACCCAAGTCAAATATTACAGACCGGATCTCACAGGAAAGCACCGGATATCACTGGAACATGGAAGCAGTATTCCGACCGGAAATTTCCGGATTTTTTCCAGTGAATTCTAGTCGGTTTCACGTGGTTTCCGACAGGACCTGATCGGAAATCATCGGAAAAAAACAGAAATTTCCGGTCGGAATACTGCTTCCATGTTCCAGTGATATCCGGTGCTTTCCTGTGAGATCCGGTCTGTAATATTTGACTTGGGTTGTTGGATTGCGTACGTATCAAATCGCAATGTATTGCAACACTTTGTCCACGCGGTCTTCTGTGGTTGCCGCGATTTCTCCATGCGACGGTCTGTCGTTGCAACCATTTGTCCATGCAACGTTTTGTCCTTGCAACCATTTGTCCGTGCGACATTTTTATTTCGACGTTCTGTCTGCGACGATATGTCCGTGACATTTTGTCCTGCGACATTCTGTCCATGCAACGTTTTGTCTGCAACGATTTGTCCGCGACACTTTGTCCTGCGACATTCTGTCCTAGCGCCTCAGTGCCCTAGGAAATCTATCGTATGTGACAGACATGGGCAAGTCATCGGCTTTCTGGCCCAAGTCAGATCAAAAACATTATGTAAAAATTCCAAGTCAAGTCAAGTCAAGTCATAGCCGTTATCTCAAAACTGCAAGTCAAGTCAAGTCAGAGCACATCTAAAAATCTTCAAGTCCAAGTTATAAGTCAAGTCAAGTCACAAGTCATTCGATTTGACTCAATTCTAGGAAAAAATGGACTTGAATTTAATGGCGGAGCCAATAAGGATAGTTGGACGCACCCGCAAATAAATAATTTGAGAAATCCGCTTGTCTATGGATCGATACAAACGCAGCAGTGGAGTACAAGGTTTTTCGATCTTCCTTTTGCCTTTTTAGAGAAGCTCTTCGTAACGACACCACGTTTTGACATCTAACTTACACTTCTGGTAGGCTAAAATCATTATTTCCCAGGATCGAGTGAAAAAATTGTGAGACAGTGCCCTACCTATAGCTCAAATCCTAGCTCCGCCACTATTTAACTTGCAAATCTTTGATATCAATTCGTTTTTCTAAGTGTATCTGTCACTCTTAACTTGAAATTTTGAACACATTATGGTCGAAATTAGAATCGAAATATATAAAATACTTGCATATACATAAAAAGTTTTGAACTTAATTTGTGACTTGATTATGCACTAAAAACCAAGTCAAGTCAAGTCATTTTTGGACTTGAATCAAATCAGGTCAAGTCAAGTCACTCTGACTTGAAAAATATTCCAGATAAGATCAAGTCAAGTGACTTGCGACTTGACTTGACTTGAGTCGAGTCCAAAACTAACTTGACTTGCCCATGTCTGGTATGTGAAGCATGCAGATAAGATTTTCCCTTGTTGTGAGCTTACCAAACGCATAGATTAGCATCTAAGCTATGAACAACGGCCAAGCGAGTCAGACTTTCATGTGCCTGAATAATGAGCTAAAAACATAATTGTAAAGATTCGAAATGTTTAGTATTTATCTGTAAATTAGATACATTTGAATGTTTGAAAATAAAAAAGAATTGAATGAAACTAAATAGTTATCGTGAAATGTCATCTATTAAAGCTAGCCGTCGTGCACACGGGCGATGTTGTAAACTGCTTAAAATCAACAAACCCGTATGAATAGCAGTACCAAGACAAAATACTATACGATAAGAAGTTATTGTGACAACGTTATTTCATATGAATTTGCTTTACTTCCTATTCCTACATGAGTATAGAGGCTACCAACTATAGATTTATCATCGTAGTTATAACGGATAGCATGCTGGAAAATGCTATCTTTTCAATGATGCACATGCTTTTGCAAATGACGTTTTTGAGCAATGTTCAACGCAGGTCGACGAGTTAACACAACCTGCACGATAACAGCTGATGAATAATGTCAACAATGCAGAACACGATCCATACAATAGAAATCCAATAGAAGTAAGTAAAATAAATCTACGTATAGCATCATGTTTAGATGTGCAAGCGCAATTGTTTAGTTCGACATACTTACCTTAGCGAAAAGTTTGATTATTTCGACTTTTTCTTTGGATACAACTGTACGAGAGATCGAAAGAGCAACTCCACTAATAAAGACTACTGTGAGAAGAAACGTGTTGTCTAAGCAACAAAAGGTATTCTTTAAATTTCACTTATCCAAACAATACAGAATACTGAAGAGTTTGTAGATATCTGTATTTTCAGCATTATTTCTGGACAGAATGAGTATCAATTAGCTATAGAAGTATTTTATTGAAGAATTTAAAAACGGTAACTTTTCCCAAAATCTTTGATTGAACAACTCTTGTTCGTCTGTTCTATCATGTGCACCTTTTACCTCTTCCATAATTGGATTTTCCAGAGTAGAAAGATTTGTAAGGAAGTTTTCCATGAACATCGAGTCTCGTTGGGTATTCTCACCCATTCGTAGGATATTGGCTAGAAGTTTTCTTTGCGGTATTTCTAAACTCTGAATATTCCGATCAGTTCTGTCTTCGGGAAGTTCTTCGTCTGAAGTGAAAGATCGATTTTGTATGCGTGGCCCATGTACGAGATAAAGAATATCTTCATGGTTGATTAGACAATCATTGAGTGACAGCTGTTCATCGAGAAGATAGTTTCCACAATGAATCAGACGAAAATCATATTCTGCAGGATATGGCGGATCAAAACTGTCACGATTTCTTTCTTTCAACTGACCGATTGTCAGATTCTTCTCTACCATCACTGTTAATGATCTGCCCTTTAAAGTTAAAATGAATAACTTGTTCAATGGCCGAACAGTCGAATCGAATTCGATGGTAGTGAAGGACGGCTGATTAGTGACTGATGAAAGAGATCGCATTCATGATCGATTGATGAACGTTCTACCATTGTCAACGCAGTAATGTATAAGTACCGAAAGCTGTATTGTCCTGATGGTAGCGCTGGCTCAAGCTTCTCATTTTTGCCCTTAAGTTGTTGGATATCATCCCGAATTAGTTTTTTTCGGCGCGATCCTTTGTGTTATTTAACACTTCATCATAATATTCCTTAGTAGAATAAAAAGCACCACGTGCTTCATCGATGCGAGCAAGTTCTAAATGTAATTTTTTTCGAAGTTCACCGTGGATATAAAGTGCGGTTTGACGATACATCTGCAATGGTAGTAATGTCCAATCGTGGACATGAAAAAAAAAAACATCGCATTCGTATGGCCCAGTAACCAAGTTCCAAGAAAATGGATTCATTCAATGGTATATTCGGTAAAGCAGCTTGATAATATCGTAGTTGTTCTCGTGAATGATGTTTAACTAGATGACCAAGGTGAATAAAAATACTCATAACGAGCACAGTATCCAATAACAAACGATTTCTAATGATGTCGTCGTCGATATTAATCTTCTTCCATTGAGCTACTTTATTGAAAAAGAATAAACGACGTCGACTGGTGTTGAGCAAGCCTTATTGATCGTTCGATAATCATCTACTATTTCGACACGTCATTGAACTTGCCATGTACTATCACCCAATTGGGTGAAGCTCGCATTACTCTAAAAGTCGTTCCAATTCTGAGTATAACTTCTTTTTCTCTTCGGTTGAAATAACTAACATCATAGTAATATATACATGGATCTGGTTTGTCTTTATATTTGTCATAGACGTCACTGAGATCAATTTCGTATATCACTGATTCGAAATCAGGTCGACCCTGACCATTACCTGCAAGAACTTTTGCGAGTTCAATATTTTTGGTCGTCGATATAAACTGAGTGATGATCATACGCTTTCCAACACATTTTTGTAATCGTTGCATATCAGCTTGAGATAATAGTTGACCACGATAGAGCTTAAATAAGTTCTCCTTCGTTCGAAAAGGCGAAGTTCATTGAGCAAAGATTTGTTTTGCGAATATACGGTCAAGTGCTTCTTCTAAATCTTTGATAAAGAAGCGAAATTTCTCAATGATGTGAGACTTGTGTTCGAAGAGCTTTATTGACGATACGATAAAGAAATTTGTCGGCCGTGTACCAGTCTAGAGCCTTTGTTGGATGATAGTCACGCTCAAATTCCTTGATTTGTTTCAAATATGTTTCGTTCTTCTTATAATATAGACGACATTCATTGAGCATATCGTTTTTGCTTGTCGATGTTCACAAAACACGCTCACGAGAATCACGTGTGTTGATCACAGCAGTGAAAAATGAAACGTTATCGATATGATCCGCATCAATGAGTGAATTCTCTGTTTCATCGTCGGCATAGACAAAAACATTGCGTCCGTATATCCGTGCAGTTCTCTTGGTAGGAATATTCTTGATTACTTTGACCATCAAATCATGTTTACTGTTAGATATGTCTTTTGATAGCCTCCAACAGATTGTCGTTAAATCTACCGACATGAGATTTTCACAGAAGATGAATAACGGCGTAATATGATTTATGTCCTCGTCTTTAATTTTAGAAAAGATCGTGGACGCCGATCGATCAGATACAACCAGGAAAGTATGATAAAACCAATTGGATTCGAAATGTTTACCACACGCATTCACATCGGTAAAGGTATGAATATGAGGACGAAAGAAACTGTAAATCATCTTTGATATCATCATAATCGTTCAATTGATCAATGTTCACATCAAGAACGACCAATTGGAAATCTTCAGCAATTTCATCAAATTTGAAAGTCATACTTGTTTGCAGACAATTTTCTAATGATTGCCCGTCGAACACTAGTATTTTATGTTCCCGATCCCTTTGTTTTCTGCGGAGCTGATGATGAAGTTTGACGAGAAGAAAATTTTTCTTTCCACTTCAAAGGCTTAATGAACATAATCCGTGACTATTTTTTCTTTTCTCTCTACGTTGGCAATTACCAAAACATAGAATTGGTGCAGACGGTGGCATTCTTCCTCCAGAAACTTTAGACAGCCACACATCGTTATCGTAATAAAAACGAACGAACAGAAATTGTAAAAAGAATATTCATCAGACCCATGAAATACCTCTATTTATTTTAATGGAATGAAAAATTATATCAGCCAATTTGATAGTGAGAGAATTGAAAGATAACAACAGATAGCTTTAAACCGAGAGAAGTCTCCATTACGATGCATCAAAATGATCTTTTAAGGACAAAGAGAAGCAACATAATAATTTCAAAATAACGTGACATTTGGTCGTATGGGTAATACAAGAACATAATTTGAATTTGACTTCTACTCAAACGTTTGGATCGAGCGTACAAGAAGACAATAAGAAAATAGACACCTTGATCTATGCGCACATTCACTAAGACTGAATTCAATGTTAGACGTGTTTAGTATATTTTGGAAAATAGTTGGCAATATTGAATATATATGAATATCATTTTCACCTGCTACAAATGTTCATATCTTAGAAGTAAGATTAACAAACTTTTTTCAGGAGTGCTCCATTCTAATTATAAACAAAAGATGACTTCATATTAAATTAAGCGTGTGAAATACAAATGGTGAAGTTGTGTGGGCGAGGATATCGTTCGTCCTCGTACATTCCCAATCTTTTTCATTCTTATCATTATTGTTTCCACAGGTGAATATAACTATGGGCAAGTTTTGCCCTTATAACGCTCTTGAAGTATACTACGCATGGTCTGTCAAGGAAGAGGAAAAATACAAAAATATTTTTCTATTTATTGGGTTTTTTCCCAGAGAAAAAGAATTCTTGTTTACGACGTCACAACGTGCTCGTCCGACCTCAAATAGAATTTTTTATTTACGTATACATTGCTTCTTTTTCATTAGGTAAATATAAGTCAAGGTGGAATTGTATTTGTAAAGAGAAATTACTTATCGATACTATCACTATAAAACAGAGATCGACTATTTTACCATGTCTTCAATTGATTCACATCGTAAAATAGCACTTGTCATAGGTAATGGCAATTACCAAGAAGGCGTTTCTTTACGTAATACAAATTACGACGCAATACAGATGGCGTTAGCATTGAAAAAGATTGGATTTCTTATTCATGACAATGAACCTAAACTTAATCTAACATATCAACAAATGCGTCATACTATAACCAATTTCGAATGTTCTCTAGAAGAAGGCGATATGGTTCTCTTCTATTTTGCTGGCCATGGAACACAATGGGAGGTAAATGTGAATTATATGATTTATTTTACTTTTCTTCATTGATTTAACGTTAGGATCAAAACTATCTTATTCCAATTGATAATTACATTGAGAAGACCAAAGACGGTGTGAAATCAAAGTGTTCGCTCAGCGGTCCAGAACTTGGAACTCGTGCAATAAATGCACAAAATCTTCTGAACAATATTAGTGACAGACATCCTTTCGTAACAATGTTTTTCCTAGATTGTTGTCGAACTTATCATTTGCGTAATAGTGATTTGGAAAAAACTTTTCGAAGTGAGCAAAGTAATCGGCCACATGGATTGAAACCAATGCACGCGAAAGCTGGTTCATTGATTGCATTTGCTTGTGCACCTGGAACAACTGCCGATGATGGAAATAATGGGGAGAAGAATGGTTTATTTACTAAACATCTTCTTAAATATATTCAAACACCAAATGAAGATATTCAAATGATATTACGTCGTGTAACCGATGGAGTTATGGAAGACTCGAAGGAGGAACAAATTCCACATCTTACAGTTGCTCTGAGACGAGATCATATCTGCCTATACAGTACAAAACAAGGTAAATCATCACCGCATCGAGAAATTAAACATTTGATTATTCCTAGAAACTTTCGTGTCATTTATAAAACAGCAACTCAGCTCCGTACTCCGTGAAAAAATGTCAACTCTAACTTTAGATGGATCGCGAACGCAACGCTACAGTAGTAAATATCTGAGATGTGGATATCCCAAATTCACCGTTTCTCACTTTAGGATCACAATTTAAGCGCGACGGAAAGGTGGCCGCAGGAGGAAATGGATATGGTAAAGATCTGGACCAAATCTGTTCCCCACACGGCATCTGTGTTGACGAAATGAAAAATATTTTCATTGTTGATTGGGGAAGCCATCGTATTGTGAGATGGAAATGGAGTGAGAAGAAAGGAGAAATAATTCCAGGTGGAAATACGTCCGGAGATCCGAAATGTCAATTGAAAATGCCGTCAGATTTGATCGTAGATGAACAAGATTATTCGATTATTGTAGCCGATTGGGGTAACAGGCGAATTGTTCGATTCTTTAACCAAAAACAAGAAATCCTAATCGAAAAAGTCTACTGTTTTGGCTTAGCAATGGATAATCAAGGTTCTCTTTACGTATCTGATTGGGATATGCATGAAGTGAGAAGATGGAATATAAAGGAGAAAAAGAAAGAAGGTGTAATAGTTGCTGGTGGAAATGGAAAAGGGAATCAGTCCAATCAACTCAACAATCCTTCTTTCATCTTTGTTGATGGTGAACAATCGATATACGTATCAGATCGTGAAAATCATCGTGTAATGAAATGGAAAAAGGGTGCACAAGAAGGAAATCTTGTAGCTGGTGGAAATGGTAAAGGAGACAATCTCAATCAACTGTCTTCTCCACGAGGATTATTCGTAGACCAATGGAAACAAATATATGTGGCAGATAGTGATAATCATCGAATAATGCGATGGTGTGAAGGTGATGCAGAAGGATCCATTGTGGTCGGTGGAAAAGGTCAAGGAAGTCAGTTAAATCAACTACATTCTCCTTATGGTCTAGCGTTTGATTCGGAAGGAAATATTTATGTCGCTGATCATGGAAATGATCGTGTTGTTCAGTATGAGAAAATAACTTAACTTAGTAAATATCTCTCATATCTGTAGTTGAATATAGAAAAAAAAGAAAAATCAAGATCACACGTGCATATGCGTTCTTTTGATTTATCTCTATCATACCTACAGCTGATACACCTGTACGTACCAGTGCTTGACTAACGGGAAAGCAGTGATAAACTTTCGGTGAAAACTGGATATCATTTAGTCAGTATTCGAGTGAGCCGTGATGGTGCGTGTTTCATTGTTACATCGCACATATTCAAGCTCTTTCTCGAATCGGATGGATTATCCATTGTTTGCCCTCGGTAGGTTGAGGAGATGGTTAAAGTATTGTGTCTGTGCCAAGACGATATGATTAGGAGAAAGAAAACAGAGTTATGTTTGGTGTAAGTACAAGAAACTGATGTTCATATCTTTAGCCGTATCAACCGAATTGCAGACGAGACAAGGATGTGACACAGATACTTCCAGTTGCAATGTTAACTAGCAGACAAAAAAAGCTATCAACTGATTTCACGTTACTGATGTCAAGATTTTCATAGATCATTTTGTTGAATTGTTGCCGTACGGAAGTAATCAGTCGCCTAGTCAATTAAGACTAACTGAATTGTCTAATCTGTTTAATTGTGCGTCATCTCTATTATCACAAACTGTTGCACATTGAAAATCATTTCAAGTGGATCGAACAATATTGGAGAATAAACGCGTAATGAATGTCATCGAGGATAATATTCAGCTGATTTCAATCGAAAGACTTCGATTGTATCGTTGAATCAATTGGCTACGCACAGATTCAGACTACAAGCTTCACCCACAGAACGTGTTTCAGCAATGACGGTTACATCATTTGGAGTGTCGCAGAACATAATATCACGCGAGATCCATGAAAACCAGCTCTATGACACTCATCATTTTGCATTGGACAAAACATCGATCAAATTTTTATAAAAATCGAGACTATGATCTTTATTGTTCAAGTATTATCGTTCGTTGGACGTTAACATCATTTCATCAATCAATCATACAACCGTATTGTTTGCAGCACTCTGATACTACCTCTATTTTATCTTTATATTCTGATTGACAAAGTTAAATGCAACCCTCAATTCAATCACATATTGGACAAATTCTTTGCATCACATTCAAAATGGACGGAATATTTACTATAAATCAAACACTCACCTAAATATCAAATCTACAGATTAAAATGCGATGCTATCTTTCATAAAACATCAGACTGGAATGCAAGATTTAATGGTTATATCAAATAATAGGTCACTTGCATGAACGAGATCTTTTCATCGATAACTGTAAAATATTTTGCATAAAAATAAAACTTGATGAATAATTACACTCGTTCGTGACTGATAGTAGTGTACATCTCTGACATATTGACACAGTAAGTGGTATGCATACTAGAACTATTATAGATCAAATTGATCATCCATGTTTCTTTCCATATTTACAAACTCCTCGCCCAGCTACCTAACACGAACATAATATAACATCTAGATGAAGCTCAATACATATCTTCATTTTCTCACAAGATCTATCCCAACACCAAACACCCACACCCTAACTCGCGTTTCTCTTACTCAAAAACATTCTCATGTTCATCACACACACTGTTATCCTCCTCACATCAGTACTAGATGATTTTGTAAAAAAACGTATCAAAACGATAAATACTGGGCATCTGCTCATGCATTTACTTTTGTTCTAATCTTTCTCTCCTCACTCAGCTCACAACCGACATACAACATGCTTTCTAATCAAGTTTCTCCGATCTCTCATGTAATTTATTGCTCAACGTACTTCAACCTATCTTCCATTGTATTTTGTACTCTTTCAGTCACAATCTGATCAGCCTAATCCACCACAAACAACTGATAGCCCATCAGAAATACGGTAAAGTATCAGATGAGTTGCGAAGGGAGAGCAATGTCTTTCTCTTTTTCTTGTATTTAGCTGTGAATACTGTCAACGAAAATGGAAGAAGATTCTTTTGACAAGTCTAGCAACAGCACTAATGATGACCATATGCGTTATCGTTTCAATAATTATGGCAAAGAAACATTCAGATCTATTGGTTACTGTAGCAAGACGGACAACAACAACAAGTGTTACGGCAACAACTTCTACGACGATAACAACAATAAGTGTTACGACAACAACTGCTACGACGACAACCACTACAACCATGTTCACGAAAGGTCTAAACATCCGTTCATTCTGTGCACACGTATTGTATAGTTATACCCTAGTACGACAAAGGATCAGATTTCTCTCCGTAGAGTTCGGTTCAGAAGAATAATTCTTCGAATGAGCATCATTTGACGGTGTAAAATGTGTTTAGGATGGATAACGGCAGCAAAACTAAACATCAATCGGCATCAGCATACTGCAACTGTATTGCAAAATGGACAAGTATTGATCACCGGTGGACGCAGTGAGAAAGGAGTTCTTCGCGAATGTGAACTATATGATCCATTAAGAGATCGATGGACACTCGTTGCAAACATGTCTGCCCCAAGGAATTATCACACCGCATCTTTGTTAACTAATGGTTTGGTGCTGGTGACTGGTGGTGAAAATTCTGATGGATTTCTCTCGACTGCTGAACTGTATGATGCATCAGTGAATACGTGGACAAACACACGAAGCATGATCTATCACCGATATCAACACAAAGCCACTGTGCTGCAGAATGGAAAAGTGCTCGTTACAGGTGGCTGGCACAAAGAAAGAGGGAATCTGGATAATCATGAACTATACGATCCTCAGACAGGTGTTTGGACAGCTACTCAAAACATGAACTGTGCTCGTGTATATCATCAGGCATCGTTGTTAACAAATGGAAAAGTACTAATCACTGGTGGAGTCGGTTCTTGCTCCATAGGTACGTCCGGAAAGACGAGTGAGTTGTATGATCCGAAAGCAGGCGCATGGATAAAAACAAATGACATGAACTTTGACCGCCATGAGCATACAGCAACTGTCCTTCAAGATGGAAGAGTACTGATAACTGGTGGATCTAGTGTAGTCGGAGTGACGTGGAACTCTGCTGAATTGTTCAACCCATTGACGAATCAATGGAACGCAACACGTAGTGTGAACACCCCACGCTCTTATCATACAGCATCTTTACTGACTAGTGGAAAAGTCTTAGTCGTTGGCGGATTCTCCGGTGCCTCTTCAGACAGGGCTGAACTGTACGATCCATCTACCGGCACTTGGACGGCCACTGGTAACATGAAATATCGGCGCTCTTATCATACAGCATCTTTACTGACTAGTGGAAAAGTCTTGGCTGTTGGCGGATCTCTCAGTTCTCGTGATGGAATTACAGAAATATACTAGTGCCATCAAACGAGAAGAAGTGTTCTGGTGAATAATGCATGTAAAAGAAATGAGAAGTTCTATTTCTAAATAAAAATTGGAGAAATATGATGAAAGTTGTTCGTTTTTAGTTAACGTTAGATAAGTAACGCTCATCCTTTGAATTCGCTGACCCTTTTCTGAAACACTTTTCCGAATGCTGAACACATTCAGAGACTTCGAAAGAGAAAAAACGCACTACGATTGCTACTAGTGCTCGAATGAATCATGGCACTATGTCACACACTAGAATGAATAGGGTGTAAAAGTCTTTTTAGGAATCAGACCGATTAGCCATTTGTCAGTGGATAATTCTCCAGCACTCACTATGTTGACTGAAAAATTCATCGCTCAACGGCTAGTCAGACCGCCACTCACGGCCAACCATTGACCTTTGTCATCTGTTTTTCTATTTTCATATCACGCGCATGGAAATTTTCATAAATGCTTTACTAAGTCACTCATAGACGGACGATATACAGTAAACTACTTGAAAAGTTTGAACATTCGCTTGTGTCTTCCAGCCATAAACCGACTCTTTTCCCTCCTGTCAACAAAATGATACCTTGCCAGGCT